TCACCTGAGAGCACGTGACTTGAGTTTCAGTCAATAGAATGTAACCAGAAGTTATACCAGCAGCTGGCCTGGCCAGTGGTCAGCTTCCCTGCCCTCCCTGATGTTTCCTGGGTGGGTGCTGACACCAAAGGGGCAGCCCAGGCACGTTTTGAACTGCGGTGTGGGTGCAAAAGGACTGTCTGCCGACCTTGGGGGGTTCCAGTCACCCCGCTTGGCATAGCTTGACAAGTGCAAGGAGAGCGTGAGAGCAGAGCGCAGGCTCCTGGACAAGCCTCGCCCAGGCTGGTCTCGTCTGTGTCAGGCACTTTGCGGCAACACAAAGGCGCTTTCAATGCACATGTCATGGGGTCTTCTGGTCTTCCAGAGCTCTAGGCAAACTCTTTTTAAAAGACTTATTTATTTACATGTTTATTGGCAAGTCAATTTACAGAGAGAAAGAGAGACAGAGCGTCCATCCACTGATTCACTCCCCAAGGGACTGCCTTGGCCAGCTGAGCCAAACTGAAGCCAGGAGCCAGGAGCCAGGAGCTTCTTCTGGGTGTCCCACGCAGGTGCAGGGTCCCAAGGGTCTGGGCCGTTGTTAACTGCTTTCCCAGACCACAAGCAGAGAGCCGGATGGGAAGTGGGGCCGCTGGGATTAGAACTGGTGCCCATATGCAATGGTGATGCTGTAGGTAGGGGCTTAACTTACTGCACCACAGCACAGGTGTTCCTGCTGGTCCTCAGTGCAGGCTGCGTGCTGTGGAGCTCTCCCCCGGGACCCCCTGTTTGGTGAGCTTGGGAACCACTCAGTCTGTAACATACTGTAACAAACCTGGGGTCTACAAGGGACAGTTGCCTGTGGAATTTGCATTCTCATCAAGGCACGATTGTAATTACCATAAGAGCTTACACAATTCAGTCTGTCCATGTTTTGTTGACTAGCATATTTTCTCGGTATAGCCTCTGTCATAAAAGCTTTCTTCTTTTCTTCTCCTTGCATCCATGGCGAGCTCAGGGGTACAGACCCCATTATGTGATTCCCGTCCAGGGTCCTGGGGGAGGAGTCACTTCACTGTGGGATCCCCACCTCACACACGCACACACACGCACACACATGCACACACACATGCACACACACACGCACACACACGCACACGCACACTCCACACTGGATGGAGTTTCTGGCCTGGGCAGGATGCTGCTGATGCTGCTAGGGGCTGTGTTCCACCCATTCTGACCCAGCAGAGTCCATCCACACACAGCAGGGCTGGGGCCTGGGGTGCCTTCCCGCCCCATTTCTTAGCATTGGCCTGGCATCAAGTCCTAGGCTCTTCAGAGAGGCTCTTCGGGCCCCCCAAAACAGCCTCCAGAGGGAACCATCCCTGGGGTGGGAAGGAGAGCAGGGCGCGTGTGCATCCCATTTCCGCTGTCTCTCTGCGGTGCGTGCGCCTCAGGGCTGCGGCTTGCTGCGGGCTCTTTAAGGCTGGGGCCAAGCAAACCGCCTCCCATCCTCCCAGCTCAACCCCCCCTGCCCGCCCAAGAACGTCACAAAAGGACCCCTGTGTATTGAAATCTACACGCTCCCAGCACAAAGAAATCAGACTAGCAAGGTGTGAGTAGAGCAGAACGGAGGCGGCAGGCTGGCTTTTCCGCCTAGCATGTGTGTGTGTGTGGGGCGGGGGGGGCGCGTGTGTGACGCTCAGCCCGTCCCCTCCTCCCCTTCTCACTCGCCTATGGACAAATATCTGACCTGCAGAGAGGTGGCTTGCTGAGAAACACTGCCGTGACCCCCAGAGGAAAGCCAGGGCCGATCCAGCCTCTCAGTTTCTTCCCAGCCAAGCCCCAAGTCCTCTGGAAGGGCCAGGACTGTCTGATTTCCCTGCACACAACACAGGCAAGCACCTGGTCGGCCCCTCCGAGCTCCAAGCTTGCACCCGTTCTTGGTGACAAAGCACGCTTAAGACCCGTGATTCATTCAGCCGAGGGCCTGCAGTAACTGGAGGCTGGTGTGCAGTCCACTCCAGCTGCCAACGGCCCCGAAGAGGAGATGAGGCCTGGAGCCCTGGGAAGCCGGCCACCTGCGACGGTGTTCCGGCTGTGGCTGCTGCTGACTCGGCTGGGCCACTAGCTCTGACCCTTGCCCTGGCCCTGATTGACACACCTGGGTGTTTGCGTTTATTCTCTGGCTTTGGAGGCTGCGGGGGTGTGGTGGGTAAGGCAGCAAGAAGCTCCTCTTCCCAGCTCTCTGTGGGGTTGGCAGGCTGGGGGCTGCTCTGCCTTCCTGTGCCAGAGCTGAGGCCCGTGTCTGGCTGGTCTGAGTCTGTGGCCCGCAGCCGCCTGTGCCTCTTAAGACCTGCCCAGCTGCCCTGTGAGGCCCTGGCTGGTGTGTCCTCTGCCTCTCTAGTGGCCTGACTTGGCCCAGGCTTCGAGTGTTTCCCAACATGGGCTGGCTGCAGGGTCAGGCAGAGAACGGAGGAAGGCATGCAGGTAGGCAGGCTCAGGGTCCTCACCCAGGGCACGGTGGTTGGGAAGCACCCGGGACCAGCAGGTCTTCCAAGGCCCGCCTCCACATTTTCAGGCGTCCGCGGGAACACCTCTCTCCCAGCCTTCCTCAAGACCAAGATGAGGCGGAGACAGCTCTGGATTCCTGGCCAGAACAGACTTGTTCTAGGACCACCTGAGCTGGGCTTCCACAGCCCACACGCAAGGACTGGGGCTGGAACCCCGCCCCCCTTTTTAAGACTTACTTATTTGAAAGGCAGAGTTACAGAAGGAGAGAGACAAAGAGAAAGATCTTCCAAACTTTGCTTCACTCCCCGAGTGGCTTCAACAGCCAAAGCTGAGCAGAGAGCCAAGAGTCTCCTCTGGGTCTCCCACGGAGGTGCGGGGGTCTGGACTTGAACCATCCTCTGCTGATTTCCCAGCCCACAAGCAGGGAACTGGATGGGAATGGAGCAGCTGGGACTTGAACTAGCCGGTGTCACAAGTGGCTTTAACCGGGAGGGTCTGCAGTAAGGTTGACCTTGGGAGAGAGCCGTGCAGCCTGGGCGGCTGTGGGCTGCCCACCACGGCGGGGTCGGGTAGAAGGCAGGGGCGGGAATGGCGGTGCGCCTAGGGCTTTCACTCTGGCACCATCGCTCGCTCCCAGGGTTGAAGTGTCTGACCTGGGGGTTTGGGAGACAGCAGGACTCCACACTGGAGGGGAGGCCAGACCCCGTGGCCAGCTGGCTGCCCCCGGCTCACCCAGCGGACAGCAGCCCTCGCCTGGGGGACAGGCACAGTCCCGCAGCAGCCTCCAGCCCCCGGCTGCTCTGTGCGGCGCCTGCTTGGCGCGTGAGGATTCATCGGTGACACACGGGAGTGAGGCTTCTTTTCAATGTCCCGATGCCACAGGATGAGTCAGGCCCGCGTTGCAAGCTTGAGGCTGAGCTGGGCTGTCAGCAGCCCCTTTCCGGTTTTCAAATGAGTCATAGACTTTCACACCCCGAGTATTCTTAGAAACTCATCTTGCTCTGGTCCCTCGTGTCACAGACAAGGAGACTGGGGGCAGGGGAGGGGCGGGGCGGAGCCACAGCAGCCAAGTGTGTGTCCCTATCCTTTACCCGGGCGCTCTCATCCTGTGCAAGTCCCCTGGGGGACCACCTGGCAGGTGTGGAATTCGGAGGGCCCACCCACCCCCGGCGTTAGACTCTGAATACAGGCAGGTGGATCGCCGAGGTCACACGCTCCACAGGGAAGAAGTCTGGGACACATGGCCTGGGATCTGCTCTGCCTGGGAGGCCCAGTGTGCAGGGCTGGGGAGAAGGGGGCCTGGGATCTGCTCTGCCTGGGAGGCCCAGTGTGCAGGGCTGGGGAGAAGGGGGCCTGGGATCTGCTCTTCCTGGGAGGCCCAGTGTGCAGGGCTGGGGAGAAGGGGGCCAGGCTGACACCGCGGCTGCTTTGTTGCCATGAGGTGGCCTTGGCAGTTGCACCCCAAAACCACCGGAAAAGGGGACCACACAGAGAGGCTGCATGAGGAAATCGGGACAGGGGATGCTGCAGGCGGAGAGCCCCACACAGGCCTTCAGGCTCGCTCTGGGTCAAGGCCCCAGGACACCGCAGCGTGGGAGCCGGCTGGAGACCCACAGGGAGGCCCTGCGGAGGACGTGGCCCAGGCCAGCCTGTGGCTCGCGCTGGGACGTGCACTGCACTTCAGGAGGCTCCGGGGCTCAGCACCACCTGCAAGGAGGGACCCACCGAGGTGCAGGGGAGGAGGTGACTCGGTGAAGCAGGTGGGGCGTGCAGGTGGGGGTCACACCCCCGCTGCTCTGCTGCTCCCACAGGACCATTTGCTGGTTCAGTCCCCCAATGACTGCAACAGCCAGACCTGGTTGGTCAGAAACCAGGAGCCAGGAGCTTCTTTCGGGTCTCCCACGCGGGTGCAGGGTCCCAAGGCTCTGGGCCGTCCTCCACTGCTTTCCCAGGCCACAGGCAGGGAGCTGGATGGGAAGTGGAGCAGCCGGGATTAGAACCGACGCCCACACAGGATCCTGGTACACGCAGCTGAGGACTTTAGCAAATAGGTTACCACACCGGGCCCGGAAGATCTCTCTTTGTCTCTCTCTCTTTGTAACTCTGCTTTTTGAATAAAAATAAATCGATCTTCAACAAAATATGAAAATTCTAATTGAATAAATTATCTTTTTCTATTTGGTTTTACTGTGAAAACAGAAAAAAAAAAAAAGTGACATCTTGGGGGCTCCCGCTCCCATGAAAGAACAAAAGCCAACCAAAGCGTTCCCGGTCATGTCAGCAATGACTCCTGAGCTTTAGCGGAGCGCGTCGATTGGCCAGACGAGCCGCTTTTTAAAGGAAATGGTTAAACCTTTGCAGTATTGACGGGCCGAACCGCGGAACGGCGGTAACCATGGTGACGGGGGCGGGGCCTCCCTGCGGAGCGCGGCGGCAACGAGCCGAGAAAGTTTGATCCGGCCGCCACGCCGTCGCTCGCGGTGCATTCTGGGCCGTCGCAAGATGGCGTCGTCCTAGGGGTGCTGGTGAGCGGAGTTGGAGTGTCGCCCCGGGCAGAGGACACGGCTCCCCGCTGCCGCGCGGCCCGCTCCCCAGGACTCGCTCTCAGGCAGCAGAGGCCCGCGGGCGCGCGATGGGCCGGTCCCGGCTGGGGCTGCCGCCGCACGGCCGAGCGAGGCCGGCGGAGGCCGAGGCGCGCTGACCGTCCCCGTGGCCGGCGGAGGCCGAGGCCGAGGCGCTGACCGTCCCCGTGGCCGGCCGAGGCCGAGGCGCTGACCGTCCCTGAGGCTGGTGGAGGCCGAGGTGCCGACCGTCCCTGAGGCTGGTGGAGGCCGAGGCGTAGGGGTCCCCGCGAGGCCCAAAGTTTCTGACCGCGGGGGCGGCCGGCGGGGGGACCTCCCGATCCGGACTCCCGACCCCCTTTCTGGGGTGCGCGCCCCGCGTGCGTCCCGGGACTCGCTCGCATTGAAGGCTGGAGGTCCTCGAGCGCCTGCTGCCCAGGACCCCGCCGATGGAGGCCGAGGTGCTGCAGGCGTCCCTGCTGGGGCCGGGGGAAGAGGACGAGGCCGACCTCACCGACTGGAACCTGCCCTTGGCCTTCATGAAGAAGAGGCATTGCGAGAAGATCGAGGGCTCCAAGTCCCTGGCCCAGAGCTGGCGGATGAAGGACCGGGTGAGTGGGGTCCCTTGCTGCCCCGAATGAAGGTCTCGGTGAATGGGATCCCTCGGGGTCCCTGGGCGAAAGTCCGGGTAAGTGGGGTCCCTTGGCGCCCCTGAATGGAGAACCAGGAAGTGGGGTCTCAGTGCCCTGAATGAAGGTCCAGGTGAGAGGGATCTTTCGGGGTCCCTGGAGGAAAGTCCGGGTAAGTGGGATTCCTTGGCACCCCTGGATGAAGGTCTGAGTAAGTGATGTCCTTCGGCACCCTGGACAAAGAGCTGGATAAATGGGGGTCCCTTGGCACTCTGTGACGAAGGTGTGGGCAGGTTCAGGTAAGGGGCTCCTGGGTGCCTGGGGACCCAGAGCTGCCGACTGCCCCTGGGCACGTGTGGGTTTCTTTCTCCTTCTCTGGCAGTCACATGTTACAAGTCACTTATAAGGCCTGTGTTTTCTATTTGAGAATGAAAGGCTTTTTTGCCTTAGTTCTTTCCCAGGTAGCGCTGGCTTGATGCGAGCTAGGTTTTACGCGTGAAGTCAGGCGGATGTGACGTGGCCGGCCGCCTTTCTGGGCTCGCTGGCTCTGTCCAATGCTCCGGGCTGCGACCACTTGACACTGTCAGCCTGGGATCGGGTCGTGGACCTATGTGCTAAGCCTGCTTTTGGGGGCTTCTTTTTTCTTGTTTTAGAAATATTTATTTTTATTGGAAAGTCAGATATACAGAGAGGAGGACAGAAAGGAAGGTCTTCCATCTGCTGATTCACACAGTGGCCAGAGCTGAGCTGATCCAAAGCCAGGAGCCAGGAGCCTCTTCCTGGTCTCCCACGCAGGTGCAGGGTCCCAAGGCTTTGGGCCGTCCTCGACTGCTTTCCCGGGCCACAAGCAGGGAGCTGGATGGGAAGCAGGGCTGCTGGCACACAAACCAGTGCCCATATGGGATCCTGGCACTTGCTGCACTGGGCCCGCTCCTTTGCTTTAACTTTAGTATTGTCTACATAGTTGAGGGATGCAAGCCCATGTGGGTCTCCAGTTAGGGTGTGGAGGATCCAGGTATGGAGGAAGGTGGGTGAGACAAATGCTTCAGTTGTTTTTTTCTGCTATGTCCTTAGGGAGGGTCCACTCGTTGTTGTTGAACTCCATCAGCACCAAGGCTGGAGGGTGGTCATTTGATGACACCCTAGAGACCCCGATGTGGGGAAGAGTGTTCTTGAGTGGTTTTCGTAGTTCTGAGAAGTTGTCGGTTTTGTTGCTCCAGGGTTGAGTCCACCCCCGTGCATCCACAGGCCCAGGAACATGTTACTGGTGGAGTGGTCCTGCTTGTCCTGTTTTCCACACTGCGATGTGGCAGCCGATGTCCCCTGCTGGCCTAGATGAGCCGCTGTCATGACCGTGTGCACGTGGGCATGCTGTCCACTGCGCAGGCATCTGCAGCTGAGGAGGCCCGGTCCTGACTCATCGCTCCGAGGGGGACCACACAGCCTGTGGTTTTGCCTGTGGCCGGGGAGAGCCCAGTGGTCTAGTCGGGGAGTCCCTCCGGAACCTCGCCTGGAGTGACCTCAGACTTGACTCTTGTGTGAGCCAGCCAGTGCAGGGTCAGATGTGGCCCATCACCTGCTCCAAAAAACACATTCTGGTGGATGCAGCTGCCTGGTCAGTTCTGTCCCAGCCTAGCATCTCTCACTTGAACTGATGGATGCTGCTGCCTGGCCCAGCCAGCCACAGACCCTGTCTTTACTCACACCTGCCTAGCTGGGAGAAACCCCAGCAGTCCCCATCAGGCCCACCCCCTGCCCTGGTTTTTGTGTGTGCCAGTGTGTGCTGTGGCTGCGCCTGGTCTGTTCCACATCCCATCCGGCTCTGCATACCCATGGTACTGCACTTTGGCTCAGCCTGACCTGAGCCCCCAGACCTGGCCCACATGTGTAGGAGCTTCATCAGTCTTGGTCACCCACAGACCGGCTCACAGCCCTGGCTCTCATGCTCACCAGCAGGAGCTGCAACCCAGCAGGGAAGTGCCCATATCTCCCAGCCGCAGATCTTGGGCCTGCCAGGAGGTACTGCAGTCCAGCCTGACATGACAGTCCTGGCACTGCCAGAAGATGCTGTGGCCTGCCCAGCCTGACCTGCCCCCAGACTAGCCCACTGCTAGTCCCAGCTCTTATGCTAACCAGGTAGGCAGTGGCCCAGCAAAAGAGTCTCTGAAGTTCTACCAGACCCACCACCAGCCCTGGGTCTTGCATGTACCAGTAGGTGCTGTGGCCCAGTCTGGGGTGACCTGCCACCAGCCCCGGGTCTTGCTATACCAGTAGGTGCTGTGGCCCAGTCTGGGGTGACCTGCCACCAGCCCCGGGTCTTGCTATACCAGTAGGTGCTGTGGCCCAGTCTGGGGTGACCTGCCACCAGTCTTGGCATTGGCCAGCAGGTGCTACAGTCTGGCTCAGCCTGTCCCGCTCCTAGTCCCAGCTCTTGCTGTTGAATACAGCAGTCTGGCCCAGCCTGGCCTGCCCCCAGCCCTCATGTAAGCTGACAGGTGCTGCCATCTAACATGGCTTGGCCTTTGTCCTGTCCTGGGTCCTGCTTATGCCAGTCTGTGCTTTTTTAGTGGCCCAGCCTGCCCCTAGTTCTGGCTCACACATTTGCTGTGGAGTGGCCCAGCCCAGCCTGCCCCTAGATCTGACTTACACATTTGTTGGTGGGTGCTGCAGTCCGGCCTGCCCCTAGATCTGACTCACACATTTGTTGATGGGTGCTGCAGTCCCGTCCGGCCTGCCCCTAGATCTGACTTACACATTTGTGGATGGGTGCTGCAGTCCCGTCCGGCCTGCCCCTCCCCTTGATGAAGCGCTAAGGTGCTGGTCTTAGGACACGGGGCAGGCGGGAGGTGCCAGTTCCAAGGGTCCCACGCTGTGCGTCTCTTCCGGCTCAGCCTGCACGCATCCACCAAGGGGGTGGTGGTGCTGCCCCTGCCCAGGGGCTTTGTGTCTTGGTGGGGATGTCCCCGCTCCCAGCAGCTTTCTCCTTGGCCCAGGCCCAGGGTCTGCTTCTTGTCTCGCTGTTTCTGGTCTGTGCTTGCGGGCATGGGTCAGCCGGCCTCAGTGACCGTGCACGTGTCTGGTGGCCCTAGCCCAGTGATCAGCGAACGGCTGTGGCCATTTCTGCTGCTTCTGCAGGGTGGCCCTTGGCCCTGCAGCCAGACCTGGAGAGCGTTTGACAGGATGGGGGCTCTGTGAGCTGGATGTCCTGTGCTCGGCTAGCAGAGGCCCACCTCCTGGCCTCCAGCATCTTTGCTGGGGGGGGGGCTCCCTCCTCCGCCTCCTCCCTTTCTGCTTCTTGGGTGAATGAAGGGGAGAGGAAGGAATTGGTTTTACTGCAGCTGTGATTGCGTTTTTAAGAATTCCTTTAGGGACCTTTTTTGTTCCTTTGAAGTGTGATTCATTCTGCTGCCATAATTCTGGACTCAAACACTTTGAAATTGATGAATGGATATGTTTTTGACCTTTAATGTAAGCATTAATTTATGAGCGATTAGGTTATAAAGAAGCAGAGATGTTATCAGTCTTCATTCCTACTGAGATGGCTGCTTGGGACAGCCGGGCAGGTGTGCAGCTACGTGCGTCAGGCTGGTCGGCTCCTGCTTGGGCCCCCCGATGGGGCCTTCCTGGGAGGCCCTGCGTGGCTGACACTACAGAGTCAACAGATGCTGAGCTGGAAGGGAACCCATGTGGATGGAGCGGGCCAGAGCACAGGTGCACGGATAGCACAGGTGGCATTTAGTGCTGTTCGACCTGCGAGCTGTGGAGCTGTGCTGGAGCTGGGGGCGGGGCTTGAGGGTCATGGGTCTTGCCAGGCAGTTTGCTTTTTCTTGAAAGCGTGTTGTCTTCCGGTTTTTATTATTTGCACTAATGTGATTATTGCAAAGCAAGTGTGTAGGCTGGGGTGACAGCACATCAGCAGAGGCTGTTGCCTATGGCGCCGGCATCCCTTATGAGCGCCAGTTCAGGTCCCAGCTGCTCCACTTCTGATGCCACTTCCTGCGCATGCACCAGGGAGATCAGTGGGCGATGGCCCCCTTGGCCCCTCGCCATCATGTGGGAGTCTAATGGAGCTCCCCGCTCCTGGCTCCTGCCTTTGGCCTGGCCCAGCCCCTGCGGTTGCAGCTGTCTGGGGAGTGAACCAGCAGGTGGAAGAGCTCTCGCTTGCTCTTTAACTCTGTGTTTCTCCTTCTCTGTCTCTATTCTGACTTTCAAGTAAGTAAGTGAATACTTTGTAGAAGAAAAGACGCTGCGTGTGTGCATTGCGGCCTGACTCTGCGTGTGTGCATTGCGGCCTGACTCTGCGTGTGTGCATTGCGGCCTGACTCTGCGTGTGTGCATTGCGGCCTGACTCTGCGTGTGTGCATTGCGGCCTGACGTGTGTGCATTGCGGCCTGACGTGTATGCATTGCAGCCTGACTCTGCGTGTGTGCATTGCGGCCTGACGTGTATGCATTGCAGCCTGACTCTGCGTGTGTGCATTGCGGCCTGACGTGTATGCATTGCAGCCTGACTCTGCGTGTGTGCATTGCGGCCTGACGTGTATGCATTGCAGCCTGACTCTGCGTGTGTGCATTGCGGCCTGACGTGTATGCATTGCAGCCTGACTCTGTGTGTGTGCATTGCGGCCTGACGTGTGTGCGTTGCGGCCTGACGTGTGTGCATTGCAGCCTGACTCTGCGTGTGTGCATTGCGGCCTGACGTGTATACATTGCGGCCTGACGCTGCAGGTGGGCGGGTCCATTCGCGCTGCGGGTGGGCGGGTCCATTCGCGTGTGAGGTCGGCTCTGGTGGCTCGTGAGCACCCGGGCTGGCCTGGTCCCTCGCTTGCAGTGTCTGCCAGAGCAGCCGCACCTGGGGCCCGGCCACCGCCACCACGCCCGTGTGTGTTGTTGGCTCATGCACTGACTTGGTGTCTTTGTTATGGATTGCGAAAAGTCACCCACACTCTGCCCCCGCTCCCTGGCACCCTCGGAGATCCGCAC